AGGAAATACTTTCTTTTGTTAAATTACACACACAAATAGGTGACTTATGGTAGCTACAGGTTGCACTACATTTACGAATTTAGCTAGGACTGCAGTTTCACACCACAATTTTTCAGATTTTATTTATTTTTTACATCACAAAATGGGAAAATGTTCACATTTGTGAAATATCTGCAAGGCTAACTACATTTCCCATGGTCATCTTTCTGTACTTGTTAAAGGTGGTTCAAAGATGGACGATTATTGACTGACCAGGAGAAGTATCAAACCTACAGTGAACTCCGTAGCGGGGTTCTAGTTCTGATTATAAAAAACCTGACTGAGAGAGACCTTGGACACTACGAGTGTGAGGTAAACTAGCTCTCCTGCTGTTTTTATGTTTATAGTTTTGTTTTGTTTTTTGGACATTTAGTGTAAAAAAAAAGGACAAAACTTTGAGTTGTTTTTGTTATTAATAGGTATGTGCATTTACATTTTTTCTATCGAGTTCATCTTTTAAATATCAACAAAAGGAAAAGATTTAGATCATGTTTAAAACCTCCTTTACCAGAGAAGGTTTTGCTGGAATAACTTCTTGATTAAGTCTGCTGGGTTCATTGAGGGTCTCTAAGGGCAGATTTGATTGTAATATTTTTTTTTTTGATTTCTACTCCTAAGAACTTTATTTGAAGCTATCTAATACCAATAAGCAGTAGAAAGTCATATTTAGAACTCTAAATATATTTTCCTTCTATTGCCAGCTGTCAAACCGCCTCGGCAGTGCCAAGTGTGCTGCTGATTTAGTAGTTCCTTCTGCTGTGGCCCGTACTGGGGAACAGGGCATCACCATTGAAGGTACGGTTTCTCTGCCTGCCTTTTCATCATCACTTTGCTTTTTACTACTTTAAATGAGTTTAGGCAGAGCCTATTATTTATTCTTTTCAACATTTCAACTACATAGCAACTACTTTAGGCGGTGCTCACTCAGTTATTGATGTTTTTTTTTTTTTTAGTTACCGAACAGGAGACTAAACTACCGAAGAAGACCATCATCATGTAAGTGTGATCAGGAACATTTTTTCCCTCTGTGCATTTTGTTACATAGAGGAGTTTACAGAGAAAAAATTTTTTTCTCTCTTTTACTAATCAAAGTTGTTCAGGGGCTGCAAAAAAAAAAGCAACTCATCACTTAGAAAAGTGAAAAAGATATAGTTTATTTGTGATGCAAAATCAGATTAAGAAAATTATTATTTGTAAAATCAGTAACATTTCGTTGGGAAATGTCTGTAAATAATCTAGCTCTTCTATATATAAACCATGTCTAGTTTCTATAGCATTTATGTTGGTTATTGGGAGTTCCTGTGAAGTTGCTGAAGAGCCACAAGATGGGGCTTCAGAATACACAGTTGTCCTCTAAGAAAGTTAGTTTTATTATCTTCTTAATAAAAATGATGTTTTTGTTTGAGAGCTAAAGTTTTATTCAGCTGTAGAGTGTTTTGTTTTTAAGACTAAAATAGAGATTTTTTCTGTGTGTATGCCTTTCTATAGATTGTGTAGTATTTAAAGTCTGTGCACTAAATGATTTTATCATGGAGATGAGAAAAGGAGGTGCTAGTTTGTTCCTTTAAGCTGGGAACCCTGCTGCTTAGTATGACTTGTGCAACTAAATAAAAGGGCAGGTAAACATTTAGGTCTTATTTACACAGCAACTTAATCTATTATAGAGTCGTATGTATTTGTCTCATGGAAAATATTGAAAGCATATATTTTTATACAGTATTTAGATTACCACATTTGAAAAAAAAAAACAGAAATAAAATTCCCTTGCTGATTCAGCTGTGTATATTTAGGTTGATGACATTGCAACAGACACATAAATTAACCTGAGCAGACAGCATTATTAAACATTATTTGGAAAATCTAGTTTAGGTAGATGACAAGATAACTTCATGTTCTTCCTCTTATCAAAATATGTCCTTGCAATGCTCTAAAATAAGGCTTTAACATTATGCTGCAGCTGTACAAAATGTAAGAAACTACCTCTGAAGGAGGGAAGAAGAAAAAAATGCAAATAAGCAAAAAAAGGGCAGATTAGTTGCTTTTGCCTTGTGAAATCAAGAGCTACATATGGGCACAGAAGCTTGTTTTTAGGATGGTGAGTTTTGTCTTGATTGTATTTTGTTCTATGACAGAAAACAAATAGAAAAACTGAACTAGACATGTTCTCTCAGCAATAAACTGTATCAAACGTGAGTTTGACTGCTTTCATACAAATGCCTGAATTCTTATCTTGAAGATGGAGTAGCTATTTAAAGCCTTTTAGTTCCAATCATCAGTGTGTTTTTTGCAAAGTTTTGTAGTACCTCTTCTAATGCTTTCATTTATTTATCACAGCGAGGAGACGATTACCACTGTTGTGAAAAACCCACGCATGAGGAGACACAGATCTCCAGGCTTGAGTGTCACTGGAGCCCACCGTTCAGAAACTTCCACCCCTGAACTACCTGCAACCAGGCCAAGAAGGATGCCGACCCAGAGAAAGACCACCATCCCAACCCTCTATGTCACTGAGCCCGAGGGGGCTGGAGCCAGGGCAGCAGAAAGCAAGCCCAGGTGGGTTGAAGTGGAGGAAGTCATTGAGTATAAGGTCAATAAGTCTCCCAGACTGTCCAGAAGAAGAGGGATCTCACCTGCAGGCTCAGACCGTGCAGCAACCCCCTCCCGTCCCAAGAGGTCTCCTCTGGACAACCTGAACGTTAACAACTCAAACAACAAGCTGGTGGAACAGAAACAGGAACATCTTAAAGACGAGATCAGCAGCCAGACCGTCTCCTGGGAGGAAGAGGAGCCTCAGACTGCCTCTGGCTCTGCATCGAGAGAACCATATGAACTGCCAAACATCGCAACGCTTGCTGAAGATATCGATGACCTGGATGATCAACAAACTGTTATCTTTGAACCGGATGATGAGGACAGTAAGAGGAATGAACCAGTGGATCTGAAACAAGGGGATCGTATTATAAATCTGGAGGACTTGGAGGATTACATCCCAGGAGAGGGAGAAACCTACGGCTCCTCCGACAGCTTACGCGTCTCTGACGAGAAGCCTTGTGAGGTCTCTGTCCTCCAGAGGGAGATCGGGGGGTCCCAAGTAGGACAGCCGGTGCTTCTCCATGTGGGGCGGCCGGAAGTTTTTCCAAGGCAGAGAAGGGGCCTCTTCGGCCGCTTCAGGGAGCATCTATCAAGCGGTCTTTTTCCATCTGTCTCCCCACAAACCAGCGGGGCTCGAACCAGGATGGAGAGACAAGTCCCAATCCAAGTGAGCCACGCCAAGCTGGAGGTGCAGCCCTCTTACTGCACTGAGGTACAGAGAGTGGAGGGCGGGCAGCAGAGCTTTAAAACTAAGGTGTCCACCCAAACCTACGGTTACACATCAGTCGGAAAGCCTGTCACTCTCCAAATTAAAGAGAAACCCTTTCAAAACCAATAAACAACTTTTAATTCGCAACACAAATCATTAGTCTTAAATGGATTCATTTCTACTTACATTATTAAAATAATCTAAAAAAATATATCTGCTACATAAAAAAAAGCAACCATTCCATATTGAAGCAGCCAGTCAGAAAATAGTCTGATCCTCAGTTGTTTTTGTGGGATTCAGCGTTTTCTATAGGCTAGGGAATGTGGAAACTGTAAACTGTAGAGATAAACATGTCACTGTAAGCAGGTTTCAGCTCTGTCTGTATTTTTTGTGATGTGTGACATGCAGCATGAATAAAGTGGACAGAGCTCTATGAAGAAACCTTTTGTCGTTCATCAGTTTGATGGTCGTTTTCATAGATGTGCCACCATGAAAATCATCATCTCTGCAAAAGGAACTTATCCAAGCAGTAAAATGACTATCACAGCTCTTTTTTTCTTGCAGAAACTTTCTTGAATTTTTGAAGGAGAAAGTATGTATAACATGGCATAGACTTTGGCTTTCTGTATTACTGTTAGGTTAAACCAGTGGTGTGCCATTAAATTCTAGAAACTTTTGCCTTGATGTATGAATGATTCCTTGGTAAGCAGTAGTAACACTGGAGTGCACTACAACCTGTTTTGCACTACAAGTACACTTTACCTGAACCATAAGTCCCCCCATACTCTAGCATTAGCTCTCGTTTTACCACGCTTCTTAGCCCTTTTCCTGCCTTTTTAATGATTTGCAGTTGCATGCAAACTCACAGGGGAGTTTTGTGTGTCAGTGACATATTTACACGAGTGACTGCATGTATTTGCTTTCTACAGCAAATGTGTTCAACAGAATCATCTTGTATGTAAGTGAAAATGTTAAATTCAAGGACTTTACTACGTTCTTTACAAATGTTGCAGTGCTTGTGTTGGTATAAGGTACCATGTAATTGGTATGGACTATGTATGCTGTTATATTATGGCTCCGACGGATTATTGTTTGAAATGTTCATGTGTAGTTTTCGAGAGGAAAATTAGGTTGAGCACAGTGTTAAATAAATGTACAGAAAACTCCCAAAATAACCTGCTTCTTCTATTATTCCTTTAGAAATAGCTATGGGTTTGGGTTAAACTGAGTGAATTATGCATGTCAGGAAATAGTATTTCAGATATTCATTTTAGGAATTGAAATTCAAACATTTAGTAGAATAATTATAGGGATGGATCAATACTTTAGGGATACATTCCTGATAATTATTGCTATAGTCTTTATTCTAAGATTTTATATATAAAACTAATAAAATACCTTTTTTACAGTTATCTTCTGGTATTATAACTATGTTGTGATCAAAGCAATCACTGCGGAACTAGTAAGTCAAAAGGTTTATGAGTGAGGGAAGAATGGAGCAGATTTATAGGCGGTTCTGTGCCGCTATAATGCAGACGCTGCACAGGTCTGTATGGGTGAAGAGGGAGCGGAGGGAAAAGGCAAAGCTCTCAATCTACGGGTTGGCCTACACTCACCTATGGTCATGAATCGTGACCAAAAGAACGAGATACAAGAGGCTGAAATTAGCTTTCTCCTCTGTGTGGCTGGGGTCTCTCTAAAACATCCAGGAAAGGATAGGAGAAGAGCTGCTTCTCCTCCACACCGAGAGTCAGCTATGGTGGCTCTGGCATCTTTGTCGGATGCCCCATGATCTGCGAAGGCACATCCAAACGGGAGGAGGCCCGAGGGACGACCCAGGACTGGAGGGACTATGCCTCTCAGCTGGCATGGGAGCGCCTCGGCTTTCCCCAGTCTCTGCTGAAACTGCTGCCCCATCGACCCAATCCTGGATAAAAGGAGGATGACGAGTACACAGTAGTCGAGCTGACAGCGTTAGTCTCGAAAAGGAGGTTTTAACAAATGGGTAAATTGAAAAGAAGGTGGCTGTATTCAGAATGATTAAGAGAAAATCTCAGCACAGAAAAAAATGTAGTTTAAAAAGGGTGCGCAAACAGGGGTACTTCGAAAGAAATGTGAAGCAGAGGTTTTACACAGGTTGTAATTCACAAAACAGAGGCAGTGCTTTATGCCTCACAACACACAGGTGTATGCAGGACATGTGTTCAACTGTTTTATTCCTTATTTTAAGCCAGTCCTGAACATAAAGATAAAAAAAAAAAAAAAACACCAGACTTCAGCTGTAGCTCTCCCAAGCTGCAATCATCCTATTGCCTACAGCACCATAAGTAACCGATGGAAGATTTCAAAGGACACCTGTCCAGTCAGTATACCTCATTGCTACCCTTATAACATATTTCCTAAGATATTTTTTAATGGATCTTGTGAAACATGTTAATACAAACCCAGCTTTGTTTTCATTGACTGCAAACTTTAACCCTCATCATAGATACTTATATTTACTGTACCTTATGTTGTGAAATGGTATTGTCCATTTTTATTAGTTATCAGTCACAGTCATACACAACAGACTACACAAATAAGGACCTTTGTAACATTTTAATTGAAGTTTTAAACATGTAACATGCTATTTCAGAGGACCTATTGCTTTAATAAACAACAATATCAGGAATATATAACTCATGGTAAATGAATGGATTTTACAAGGTGCGACTTATAGCTTCACCGTTTAAGGTGTGGCTGGGAAACCAATTTACAAACACACCATAGATTTCCTTAATTACATATGTAAAAATAGATTTGCTGTGCTTTTTGTTTGAGGGAACATATACAACTCTAAACATTATTTTGTCCTGCAGATCTTTTTAAGTCCTCTGAATGTCATTTCACAATACATGTAAAGCTACAATATGAGCAAGTTACACAATAATATAAATGTTTTATAAAACTACAATTTTAAAATAGCCAAATACCCCACCCCCAATAACATAAAAACGAAAATGAATGACAGTGATAAAGTAATTAAGAAAAAATTGGACTTCACTCACTCGAGTGCAACGTAATCCAAATAAAACTGAGATATTCTGTTAACATATACATAGGAAAAAAAACATAATATAAAAAGCTTTACCAAGTCTGGAATAAATGTAATGTTTCATTAAGGATGGCTGACTTGCATGTACCCCCTGAAAGTAAACAACCAGAGATGGAAAAGAATTTGAAAAGCCCACCAAAGCAGTCCACATCACAGACCAGTTAGTCCACATGATGGAATGCATCCTGCCGCTCCCCGTTTGCTGCTACTCTGGCATGGTGAGTGATCAAGAGGGCAGACATTCACTCTGTCTGATGAAAATCCTTCTCCACAAGGTGCAAGTCACATTTCAAGTAAAATTCATTGGAGTATATTCTCTTTAAACATAAAGAATAAAAAATAAATGGCTATTAAAAATAAAACAAAAATACACTAGTTGACCAACTCCATCTAAATACATGTTTGTAGATTCACTAATTTATGCCGTCTGAGTTTAACAGACCATAATCTGAGGGAATGTACTTTGTAGTAGTAGTGGTCTTGGCTTTCATGGGGAGTGGATGGATGAGGCGCTTTGCTGTGCCGTCTTCTATGATGTCTTGGCTTTATTGACCTTGTTAATTTCCTACAGAGAGAACAACAAGCCTGTATCATTATAAAAACAAACATCCATGCCCTGCAGGGTTCCTGCAATATCTTAATCTCCAAATTTCAAACCTTTCCAGACCATTCAGAAAAAAACAAAACAAACAGAAAGTTCTGAACTTGGATATTCTGAATTTTCTTTGTAATTAGCACTGCCTTAACTTAAGTTTGAAAATATAAACATTTTAATGATGGACAAAAACTTGGTTCAATAGCCTTCAGGTCAGTTTAAAATCCACAGATAAGAGGATCTAGAGGCAAAATGCTCCATGTGTGAAAATGTGAGATGCCTCTTTTTTATTTCCTTTATATCATTAAGTCGTTCAGTCACTCAAAAATGATGGAGTTGGACTAAAATTGCTATCTGCAAGACCAAAACCAATGATCATCAACTGAAATATAAAACTATGTAAAAACAAAAACAAGGCAGAAACTAGAAGGTTTAATCTATGTAATGAAAACTTTTCATTCTTATTTTTTTTTCTGCTGATACTTAATCAGACATGATAAATAAAGTAAAATACTGAAGTTCCAAATGCTGGCCAATTTATCAAGAGTTTGAAGGAAACCCTGAATTGTGATTGAAAATTCCAAAGTTTATATCTGTCAGTTTAACCTATAGACTCACTCTTAACCTTTCAGCAGTACAACAACCCTTAAAATACAGTGGGAGAACGTATATCCAAGTTTTAGAATGGCCTAGTCAAAGTCCAGACCTAAATCCAATCAAGAATCTGAAGCAAGACTTTGATGTCTACAGATATTCTCCATCCAGTCTGAAAGAGTTTGAGCTATTTTAGAAAGAAAAGGTGAGTAAAGTCTTCGACTGGGTAAGCTAGTAACACGATGCCTATTTTTTCATCAGTTCCCTTTAATAATTATCTATGCTTGTTCTGCAGTTATCAGTGAGCCTCTACTTGTTTCTACATGCCCATATGTGAGCTGAAGTAAGTGGAACCCATTAACACTATTAGATGTCTTCTAATTTGCAAACACATGCTTTGATCTTTTTTTTTACCTGTGTAGCCTCATCTGCCTCTAGTGTCTAGAATCAGCATCATACAGCAGCTCTTAACTTATCTTTAACTTTTTTAATGTTTGAAAACGAGGGCTGCAAAGGTAACTCACCTCAAGAAGAGTCTGTTTTAACCTTCCATAAGCATCGTCTAAATTGTCATTGACGATAACGACATCAAACATGCCAGGTTCTTTACCTAAATTGGAGAGATCAAAAAAGAAGCTTTAGCCTTTAAACATGCTTGTTGGATTTTTATTTTAGTGCTTTTAGAATCATGGAGAACTCCTTACTGAACTCCATCTCCACCCTGGCTGCATTTAAACGCTTCTGCAGGCTCTCCTCCGACTCAGTTTTTCTGTCTCTTAGTCGTTTCTCCTGTTAATTCCAACAAGCAGGTTATTTGTAGGAAAACTCACAGAGCTAAACTGGTTGCATGGATTTCAGTTGTGCTCACTAGGATGTCCATGGATGGCGGCTGGATGGAGATGTAAATAGGGTTGAGGTCTGTCTTCTTAATGTTCTTCACACCCTGCATGTCGATGTCCAGTATACAGATGAGGTTTTTGGCCTGAACAGCTTGGACAGCAGCTTTGCTTGTGCCGTACAGGTTTCCAGAAAACTCTGCGTTTTCGATAAACTCGCCGTTGTCTATGGCTGCCTGCATCTTCTCCCGTGTAACATAATGGTAATCTATAAACCAACGATTTAAGTGTAGAGGGAATAAGTTTAGAAGAAACTAGACAGTGGTTGGAAAGCTCTTTTTAAAAGAGAATACGAGATATGTTTTACCTCTGCCGTTCTCTTCTCCAGGGCGAGGGTTTCTTGTTGTATCTAGGAGACAAAATGACTCGGGCGTTACATTCTCCAGAGCTTTAAGCAAGCAGTTTATCAACAATTACAGAAGATTCTGTAACTTATGCATTTATTTAGGTCTCAGAGTTTTATATGCATCATATCAGTTGTCGAGCAAATTAGAAGAGTTAAGCCCATCGTAAACAAAACAAAAACATAAAAAGAAGTTTTAAATGTTGCTATGGTATAACAGAACACAGTACTACCACATAATTAGAAACAGATATATAATAGAATAACACACATTGATAAGTTAAGATTAAGAATGGGCACTTAGAATCAATTGTGACCAGTTCTAACCTTTAAATTCTCCTGAAATGCTTCAAAAAATTTTTGTTCAGTACCTAATTTTGATACCAAGCCTATATCGAAAGAAAGACACAGAATACCAACCAAGAAGACGATTGACTTAATTAAAGACAATCGGCTACATACAACTCGTGATGCACTTTAATTTTAATACAGATAAAAATCCTGAAATCCTAATACAATTACTGCCTGAAACATGAGTTATTCTTTTTATGGTTGAAGTTAACTGCCTGCCACACTTACGGGAGACACTGAAGCCAAACACATTGTCATGTTCTTTGATGAGTTTCTTCAGCAGAGTGCTTTTTCCTGCCCCGGACGGGCCACTAAACACCACAGGCCTTGGTCCAGCCATAGCTGAAAGACAAGAGGAGAAAAAGACTGGAGCTCGTTAATTGACTCTTTAGGTGGAGCAGGAAGCTTGACTCGTCAAAAAAACAACATCTGTCTCAGAAAAAAAAAAACAACAAAAAAAACATCATAAATGTTTCCTATAATAAAACAACGGTGTGACACTAAAGAGAAAAACAAGGCTGTGGTTTAACCCTCACAGGAAAAGAGACAGTCGCCTCCTTAGAGAGCCGCAGTGTCACTAAAGCAATAACTGGAAATTATTGTTCTTAAAAGTGATACCAAAAAAATGCTGAACTACGCAAAGCTAAAGGAGAAGCTCTGTTGTTTTGTTTTTTTTAAATCATGGATTCCAGACAAACCAATTTAAAACCACTTAAAGTCAAATTATACAGCAACATTCTAGTTTTTAAGCCAAGAATCAATTTTGACTCAAATATTAACACCTTTTCTACATCTACTCAGATACTGATGACTGTTTTCAGACTGCTCTAACAAAGATTAAAAGGGGCCCTGATGTTTTTCTCCTTACCTTTTTACCGAGACACAGAGAGGAAGAGCAGGTGAGGAGCTGAAGTAAATGGTGAGAGTTTGATTAGGAAAAAACAGCCTGAAAGCTGAAACTGAAGGGGAGGAGAAAGCAAGAGGGCGTTGCTATCACTTTAACCCAGTGCCTAGCAACAAGTGATTGAGCTGAGTAGAGGATTCACTTTCACATTGAGTGACTTATTTCAAGCCTTTACATCACATAATTATCACCAATTACAAGTTTGTCAATAATTACTTTAAAAAAATAGAGAAAGTACAGAAAGGACTGGAGATTTGATGGTGATATAAAATGGATAATTAAATTAGAAATGATGTATGACTTGGAAAGTGAGACTTCATTAAGTTTAGGGCTGAGCAATAAAACAATATTACCGTAATATATTTTGTAAAAGTGATCAATACCAATAGAAAAAACATCCAACCCAGAATCCCATTGCATTGTGGGGGATGCAGACATAGGAAATTATTTACCGGTAGCCTTGTAACCCTCATGGCCAAGCTAAGCCAGGTTAGTGGTAGGGACTGATTTTTTCAAAAGTTAGGATTAAATGTGGTAACAATTTAAATTCTTCCCTTTCCCCTTCTCCTTATATAGAATAGGTACAACAAGAAACGTATCCATAACTATTAATATTGACTGATAAGAAAAAGACTTATATGGGTATCAGCAATATCACAGAGCCATAATCAAGTTACAATCAGATGGAATACGAAGAATGAGACTGGACTCTTGACTGAGTTGCCTAAATTCATTGTTTAAATAAAAGTTGCAGACTCTAGAAGAAGAGCAAAGAGGCTCAAAATCCTTTGTGACTTTTCATCTAATGGTGCAATGTCACATCAAGTCCAAAGTCAGCGTAGCATTTTCTTTTAGCTTTTCGAGCTCTTGATGCCTCCCTCTTGTGACAAGCTTTATTATGATGATAATTCCGCTTTTTCTGGCAGTATATGCACTGTCTGCTATTATCACCAGAGCTATTAGAAATAAATGCTTTAAATAAATCAACCTGAAAGTGGGGATCTCTCCGTACAACTTTTCCATTTTATATGTGATACTGATCCTATACAATATAAACACAAATCATACATACTTTTATTACTTATTTAAGCGGGGAATGGAAGAAAAGGCTTGATCAAAGCATTTACGTCCAATAGAAAAAAGTCAACCAAAGTATAAAAACATCTGATCCATGTTTTATTAACCAATGATACAAACACATGAAAAAGAATTGGATAGATGTATGATGAATGTTTCTATTAACTTGCTAATATCGGAGCTTTTAGGTGCAAGCCGATACTTGTTTTTCGGCTAATCTTGGACAGAGACATCCCTACCTGCCAGTAATGAACAATGAGTTTTTGAGTTAAATAAAATTACTGTAAAAAACTTTACTGAACGCACCTAAACAACTGATATGCACTAATAGGACTGCATTCATACTATCACTTCTGCTTATGGAGAACATCTATCCATCTATCCAAAGATGCTTGGTGAATTACAAACAAGACCCGGGTATGTGTAGGATTTTTTTTTTTTTCTTTTTGGATGATTATATAACTTTAGAAGATCAAAGTACAACTAACTATAAGCAATTTGGATTTCCAGAAGAAAAAAAATAGAGCACTGTGTTCTCTATTTTAAACAATTCTAAACAAAATCATGTTTTTTTAATGACATGCAGAATTGCATTTAATGTGAATTGTTTTTGATCATGGCAAGGTTAATATTTAAACGAATAAATGAGTAACAGAATTTACATCTTCAGTCACTTTATCAAGGAACGTTTTAGGGCTGCAACTAACGATATTTTGCAAACTAATTAATCTGTCAAATCATTTTTTGAGTAATCGAATAATAATTGGATAGCCAAAGGTTCCCAGAAGATTTTTTACTAAATTAAACCAGGTGAAACTAAAACGTTTCCACCTGAGGAGTTCTGGATAGAGTATATAGACAGACGAAAAAGATTTTTATCTTAAATTCAAAATGTTTACACATTTTTTTTTTTTTTTTACAATTTTAATATAATTAATGCACTAAGTGGATTGCTCTGTCAGCTAAAGGCATGTTTTAGAGTTTCTACACTCCAGTTAACAAATAATCGATTACTAAATAAGTAAATGATTATTTCAATAATTGATTAATCTGATTAATTGTTCAGCCCTAAAATTTTAACACTGAATTGGCTAAAATGAATTAGCCAAGCCCAATTTGAAAGACCTTCATATTTCACCCTGTATCTATTAATAATAAAACCAGGCAGATAGCTTTAGGGCTTATTTACAATAAAATCTCAGTAACTGCAGTTAACAATGTCATAACTGTTATGTGGTAGTGTGGCTCCTTGTGACTTGCAGAGACGTTCATTTTGAGATAATCTGCCATTTCTCCTTAATAGGAAGATGCATGAAGACAAATGAAAGTCACATGGCACTACAAGCAGCATGTGCTGACACTTATTGGAAACAGCACCATAACTGATCCTAAACCCATGCAGCATCCCTCATGTGACTGGAGTTTACCAGAGTTAAGTTAAATCACAGGAGCAGCATAAGGTGCTTAAAACTCTAGTCAAAATTACAAACTAAAAGACATTTTGATTATAAAATTACTAATTATTTCTAGATTTTGAGATAAATAATGCATTAAATAAGGCTTTACAATATTTGGCACATGCATATACCAGGATTCTCCTTTTATTTTTATTTCACACATTGATTTGCAGTTTCATTGGCTAAAAGACTTGGGTTAAATGTGAAAAGGCAGATTTTCAGGAATCAGAAATTAAACAAAGAAACTCTTTTGATGCAAAAAAATAAACGTAGAGAATAATGATCTTAGAGCAGCCTTGCAGCGCTAATTAGTTCCCCCTAAACAAAGATGATTTTGCAGCTAAAGTGTTATCTTCTATGCAGTCATGAGTGTCGACAGTCTGTTCTGAATAACAATCCAGATACAAAAGTCTCACGACTGCACTATGAAAATGCACTTTGACTCAGGGTTAAAAGTCATAAAGTGTTATGGTACTTTCAAAAACTGACTTACTAGAAAAGATGATAGACTGTTTCTACCATGGGAATTTACAACAAACCATAATGAGGAGGATGATGGCAGCTTTAAATAATTACTGGGTAAAATACAAATCTCATCAAAATCCTGCTCAAAAATAAATTAAACACTACTACTATATTCAGAGTTTAAAAGTTTACTGAAATTGAAATACAAAAAAAAAACAAAAATCCTATAAATATTATGATTAATATTCTGGACTATTGTGGCAGAGGTGGGAATAAGAGCTGATGGTCTGCTTTGAAAAAGCAAATAGATAATATTGTCTTATATATTTCATTTTGGTTTTAAATCCATCTGCATTTAATTTTTTCTCAAATTGACTATTTTAATTTTCTGTTTTTACAGATCAATAAGCTGTGAGAATTTCATGGATAAACAGAGTTAAAAAAAATATGACAATAAGCGTGCATGTATAATTTTTTTTTTTATACATTTTTGCAAAGAATCAACTTTAGTAGAGAATTTGCAGAATATTACATTTTAATCTAATGATGGCATGATGTTAGAGATGGAAATTAAAGATAAAATACTTATTCAAGAACCAAAACTTGGCTAATAAAGCTGATTCTGGACAAGAAAAGCCCACATTTTTAATATGCATATAAATGTAATGTTGCAGATTAATAATGCGACCGTTAGAGAAGGAAAAAAAAATTCAGTCTGTACATGTGTTGCTACAGGTCTTTTTTTGATTGTCTGTACGACATCCTTGTTACCAGTTATTAATAAGTCAACCACGCGTAAAAAAAAACTCAGCTATCTTGCCACTGCGATGAAACCCCTCTACATTCCAGCTCCATCTTTTCCTGGTCTGCAATGTCAACAAGCCGCCTCAAGGAATGAATGGCACTCCCAGATAATAAAGACATCCTAGATGAAAGGAAGCGACAAACACAAACATCATCCTTCCTACCTGAAAATAACCTGGCAAAATGTCTCAGGTACATCGGAGGTTAGATTATTTCCAGCCTCTGAGACCGTGTCCGGAGGATTTTCTTCCTCCCCTGGCCTGGGCTTTCGTTGTAAGAGCCATTAGAGAAAACTGTGCTGGCTACGTCATCACTGCGAACCAAAACATCAACGTTCAACGTCAAAATCACGCGCGAGAAAACGCGGAAACTCGATATTTCTTCGATAATTTTTTTTTTTTTAAGCAACGAGCATTGTTTTTAAAACTTAAGAAATTTCCGTTGTGATTTGTGTATCTAAAAAAAGGACTTACAGGAAGTAGTTTGTAGCGGCTGTACGCAAGCTTTGAACGCGTTACTATAGCTACGTGAAAAAAGCGGGCTAACTTGCTACACGTTATTTAGCTACGTTAAAAAAAAAAAAAGCCGCTCGAATAAGCCAAAGTTTCCCAAAAAAGAAACAACCGTTAACTTGTTGCTCCCGTCGATACTAGGAAGTTAACTCACCGCACAACTTCCCCGGATGAATGAGTCAAAGGCCTGTTCGGGTTGCTAGCGGTTCGGGTTGCTAGCGTTAGCTGAGCGCGCTAGGAGCGTGTTGTTTACTCTAACTCTGACTTTATTCTGCTAAAACAAAATGTTTGGTTCTTCAAGATCTGGGGGCCTACGCGGAGGCCAGGACCAATTCAACTGGGATGACGTAAAAGTCGATAAACACAGAGAGAATTATCTGGGTGAGTTCAAATGCCTACCTTATCCGAGCTAACCAGACAGCTAACGAGAGGCGACGATAGCTGAAAATAGCAGCTTATAAGCACATGTTGGCCTCACCCACTGCAGTCCCATACCTTTTGATATGGAGTCCCTCATTGCGTAGAGTCTGGATGGAATTTATTTTCTTCCTATTTACAGACGTATTTTTGTTCCCTGGGCACAGTTGGTTCCCACTTTCACATTGCTTTTCACTCTGAGCATAAAGAGTGTGTCTGTGCTGACCGCTGCCCAGCTAGTCAGCATGCCAGACTACAGCAGCGACGTAGCACATAAAGGAGAGCAAATGTAAACTTGCACAACTTATAGCTACGTTTTATGTTGAGAGGCTATCTCTAGCAAACGGATGGTAAATTTAACAATTAACTGTGTTGGTAAAAAGTTTTAGAGTTTCACATAAAAAGAAACAAACTTGATGTCATCTTATTTTTATGAAACACATTTAAGTGCATCTCTGTAAACTAGAACATCGTCGAAGTGTCCCATTTATTTTTAAGAATATATTTCACCTATTGTAATATATTGATATACTTCTATTTCTAAATAAGATAGATATCTGTAAATAAAGGTGTCATTCTATCAGAATTTGGAGTTTTTTTTAACACGTCTTGGATAAGAACATTGATTCATTATTTGCTTTCTTGTAAATTAGATAGCAAAGATACAAATTATTCCCTAATGTATCCAAACAGTCAAAATAGATAAGCTTCCGGGGATAAAGAAAAAAAAATGTGGTCAGTGAGAATATTTACCAAAGCTCAAATCTTTATTTTAAAACTCTTTGTTGTTTTACAGCTGTAAATATTCTGGTTTCTTTCTATTGTTTCTCTATTTGCCAGATCATATCATTTCTGTTGTTCTTTTTATTATCTGCATTTATTATGAGTAATTTTTTTTTTTATTTCTTTTTAAGGATTAAGGAACTTTCTTCCAAACAACTGTAGCAGGCAAATGATTATTGGCAGGCAAATGGTTATTTATACTGTAACATTTAATTAGCAGAAGGTGCAACTCTTTTTTTTTTTTAATCTCAAACAATAAAATTGAAGTTGATATGAAGTAATATCTTTATTTTGACCTTTGCTCCACACAACCAGAGAAAACTTACTCTAGAAATGTGGAACTGTATTTACAATATAACAGAACCAGTATTTGTTTTTTAGCCATATATATTTTAAACCCTCCAATGTCTTCTAACCAACTCATACCAATGTTGCCAGTTTCTACCTCAAAATAGTCTTAGGCAGTTTTTTGAGAAAACAATTTGAAAATATTTGTGTTTTTTGGCCCCGATACCTGGTTGTGCAGTATCGGCCGATATCGATACCATCTGTTTGAAATTGATGTGTGTATATACAAAGAAATGCATACTACTTGCATGTATAATAATTGCCCTTATGACTTTGTAAAGCTGCTGCCTACCTTTGTAAAGCAGGAAAAAGACTAATACAAGGTGAATCCAGTAGAACTTTTTATTGCCTACCTGAAATGGGTGACAATAATTGAATAAACTTGGTATAGGTGCCCTATTTGGTACTCGCCGATACCGCCATTTTAGTGCAGAATTGGGCCCCTGGTCGTTACTGGTATCGATGCAAATATCAGATCATCAGATATATATCCAATATTCAGTCTAATTAAACCTTAGAATATGAGCATTTAAACTCACCCCAGCCTTCTTTTGTTTTCAGGAAACTCTTTGATGGCCCCGGTTGGACGATGGCAGAAAGGCAAAGATCTGACATGGTATGCAAAAGACAAAAAATCTGGCAAAGCTTTGTCCAAAGAGGAAGAACTTGCTGCTGTGAAAGCCGCCGAAGAAGAGGCTCTGATGGCTGCCCTGTATGTATGACCTCACATGTACTGCATGCTGCAACTGTGGTGCATCAGAATTTAACATTTTTATTCTCAATTTAGAGGACACAAGATTATAAAGAGGCAACCAACTGGCCTTACCAAAGAGGTAAATCAGTGAGATGGTGAATGGGGGTAAAAATAATCTTCTACGACCAACAAGATCAAATGTTTTAAGTTTTATTACATTTTGACAGGATCTCGTGGAGGTTTGTCGAAGGGAAGAGGCTGATGGTGAAGAGAGGAGTGTGGATCGTATATCAGGCTTGGGAAGCTCCAGGTGATTATCCATAAAACCTGAAATTGTTATAAAGGGAAAGCGTAACAATGCATTTTTTTGCTACCACCTTGAAAGCAATTAAAGGAATTTTAGAAAAGGAAATCTATGAGTGAAGTTCTCAAAATCATTCTGAATTGCAAATCTTTCTTGTATGAATGTTGATATATTTTTCACTCAGGTTCAAGCAAATCCTGCGAATTAGTTCATAAACACTGGTTCCTCACTTTGAAATGTATTGTTCCTACAGTAATGTGGAATCTTAGCACTGTGAGGACTCCATTTCAGGTCGGGATGTATGATAATCATGTCGAAGGTTAAAACACTGTAATCCATGTGACCTGAAAGTGACTTCTTTTGACTACTGAGCACATTGGCTATTTTAAAGAAGTTTGATCTGGATGAGTTGGTCTTAAGAAACCAAAAGCCCACATCTCACCTAAGTTTTTTAGAAAACGTATAGCAGTTTGTACATAAAAGGCAAATGTGACTTAAGTGCTTTCCAGATGGCTTCAACCACACCACGGCATTGAGACTGCAGTGGTAAAACTATACAATGAAATATGTCCCTGCAGCATGAAACAGTCTTGGTTTTACTGGATTTTAGTTTTTTACTGCAGCCTGAAATAAGGAATGTAAATATATGGTATTTTATATCTCTAATGTCCATAATGTGGCTTGATGAAACAACTCTTGTCGTTTTCCGATTATTATCTGATTGGAGAATTTGTAGGGATACTCAAGGCTTCATTCTTAGGACACATTTATTCAGTATCTATATGATCCAACTTTATATTTGCTGTACACTGCATTATCACAGTCTATTAGATGATTTGTTCATGATATGCACACACTATGTTTATATCACAAGGGTCTTCTGATTTACTGCAGGAAAACACAAACTTGTTTTTGGATCCAATGAAGGAAAATACAGTAATGCTTTGGACTCTACTAAAATTTAACATCCAACTAAAGTATTTACTTACTCAACCTATTATTTCATAACATTTTCCCTGCATTTATTTTCTACATACTTTTTTGTTTGTAATTTCGATCAAACATCAGGTTGCTCATCCAAATGCTGCAGCTGTAGTCCTGGCTAACACTAGCTAATCGAGTCTATCTCAGTAGTCTTAATCAGTCCTAGAGTGTAAATCACTTTTCAAATGTCATAAATGCTCTATAGGGTACTAAATAATTGTGGGTCTTAATGCATATCTCAACCTTGTAGGATTTTTTATTTTTTGCAGTTAAAACTTATGTTTTTGTCATTTCTATTAATTTACTTTAGATTTTCCTTTGGATTTTTTCCCTCACTGGATAAATTATTACCAGTTTACCAGCTGTTCCTATTTGGTTGCAAAGTTCTCTGAATTACCTCATGCTTCAGTAGTGCTATACAATACAAATACAATTAGCACTAATATTATGTGCTTGCTTTTCTTGACCGTTTGTGTTTGAAGTGTGGGGTCACGGAAAATGTTGCTGTCCCAGAAAGAGAAAGAAGCGGCTAAAATGGGTCTGCCGATTTTTACGGTGAGTTCAGTTTCAAGATTTCCTACTGTAATCTACACCTCTGTGCAACAAATGTAACTATGCTTGTCGTGCAGCATCACAAGACTGAAAGTCGTCAAGAAACACCAGCAACAATATCAGCTGAGAGCGCTGCAAAAGAAGAAGAGACAGAACAAGGGTAAATATGCAGAATTGTACTCACATTCAGCATTAACCAGACCTCATGAAATGTGAGCCTGGTTTTAATAACCTCTGTTTAATTTCAGTATACATGAGAGTAAAAAGAAAAAGAAAGAAAAGAAGAACAAAAAGGAGAAAAAGAAGAAGGAAAAAAAGAGGAAAAGGAAAAGACAAGATTCATCGTCCTCCTCATCCTCCGATGATAGAAAAAGGTTTGACTGAGATTTCCTTCAAAACTTTGGGTCATGAAGTGCCATGTTCTCAGTAATATCACAAAATAATCAAAACATATCAAATCCAAAACTTCACCCAAATTTTACCATGAGCATTACACTGAAAAAAAAAACGATCTAGAAATAAGTAAAAATGTCTTAGGACCCTGTCACACCTTGCCGATTTAGCCAGGTTATGCCTGACGTCCCAGAATCTCCTAAAACGCTGCTATACGCTGAGCTTTCTATGTATTTTTTTCAATTTTGGGCGTATGCATAGCACATTTATAACGAGTCCAGAACTTATGTCCAACAACAGCCTATCTTATGCATAACGCACTGCTGGGATGCTCCTGTGAACCCATTTTATATCAAAACGGTGCCACAATGCTATTAAATGGTAGCTGTAAGTTAGAAACGCGTTCAGCGGTTGTCTGAATCACGTCAGATACGTTCATATACATTGGGGGTAAGTTCTTGATAAGTTAAGCATGAGTTATGCACAAGTTTCTCATAGGTTTTGGATAAGCTAGATGCCACAACTTATGAGTAACGTACGCTTAACATATGTCAACGATCAGATAATATACCTATAACTTATGGCCCACGTATGGCAGACGCTCTCATACGTTGGGAAGTTTTGAGCATGCTCAAAACTTCTTGACGTAATCGCCGTATAGCAGCGTTTTTACCAGATTTTTGTACAACAGGCATACGCTGGTCTAAATCACCAAGGTGTGAGAGGGGCTTTAGAGTAGGTGTATTTACCCTTAATTTGAGTATGTAAATCAGATGATTTACCAATGGAATGCATATTTTTACTCTTCAAATAAACTAATTGGATAATATGCACTTGAAATAAGACAATGCAATTGTTTTTTATTTTAATTAAATTATCTTGCTCCATTGGCAAATTGTCTCACTTACCTCTTGAATTCAATAACAAGTGCACTTATTTTAAAATAAGAATAATTTATTTAGAATTTGTTTTTTTGCAGTGTAGAAAGGCTTGCTCTGATGCATTATTTACAAAGCCTACATTATTATTATTATAATGCTTTTACATTTAAACATATGGGGCTTCAATTATGTGAAACTTTACTTTTTACAGAAACAAAAATGATTGAAATGTTTCATTTAATTTTAGCAGGTGAAAAACACATTCACATTCTGTCTAATGCTTTATTTGATACCTGCTGCTGAACATCTGCTAAACATCTTCTAATTTGAAGGGCAGATTCTGCTTTTGCTACTGAAAATGATAACTAAATATAAACTTAAATTGGACATTTTTTCAAAATCAGTTAGATCTCACATTTTGTATTAATATCCAGAGTAATTTTTAATCTTTGTTATTCTTTGGAGACATGAAACTGGTAAATTAGTACTTGTTCACAGAAACTTAAAACTTGGAAACTGATTATTCTCTGAGCAATAGCATCTAAGGCAGTGTGATGGAAAGGACAGATGTGGCTTCTTTATTGATGCTATTACAGAAAACTGAAACGACTAAATGGTGAATACAGCGATTAAAAACTGAGCTTTAAATAGTTATTGAAAGTAATTTAAAGTCAATTTTATTGTCAGGGTTATAATCATTATGGAGGATGAATATTCTTGGATCGGCAGTAATCTGAATTTTCTCTTGCTTAGCAAAACACAAGACCTAGACATTGAATACCCTGCTGGTAAAAAATTATTATAAATTCCTTGATTTCATTCTACTTCAATCATTCTAGTTAGAAAAGTTTTTTTTATAGTAGTTTATTTGCACAGTGTTAACATTTCTGTTAAAGGTGTTGGCATGCTGAAATATGACTTTGTGGCTGATAGAAAGAAAAACATGTCCTGCCCTCTGATGCTGGAGATTTCCAGCTCCTGCCTGGTGCCTGGGGAAAAAAAATCCTGCTTCCATTTAAATAAGAAACAATACACTTCTCAGGCCACTAGGGGGAGATACAGAAGCTAAAATAAAGAACGATCTGAAATAATTTTTTTTTATATAAATTTTAAACTTTTAAATCCAGACTTTTAAAGGAACCTTTATGCATTATTTTCAAAACTATATAATGTGTCTTTTGTAAAAGATCTTTAAAGTTTTTTTATTCTGCAAAGCTGAATATTTTTTCAGTCTTGTTTTTTTTTTTCTTCCTGTTTTTAAAAATTAGCAGCATTTCTTTGTATATGCTTATTACCACAATATCCATGTTTTTTTTTATTCTTTTCTAAACTAATTCATCACTACTTGGGTCTGTCTGCCTAAATTTTCTGTAGATTTTAACACAAAATGCAAAATACTGCATCACCACTTGAGGGCGCTAAGATACTTCTATATTTTGCATACTGAAGTTTTCTTTTTCTTTTTATTGTTTTGCATTTCCTTTGTATTTAGGATTTAAAATGCCTGTGAGAGAAATAAGTTTGGGAGTGAGAGAATAATATATTCTACATGTGCAGCTATTGGAATGACCTTTTAAAGCAAACCCTTTACTGTGTGCATTGCCCCATAAAGCACCAGGCAGTCGCTTGTGCCCAACTGTGTGCTACGTCTTATTGGATGCCCCACTCATTGATTGTTTCCTTTTACCTTTCAGACACAGAAAGGACCACCATCATCATAATCCATCATACCATAGTCAGAGTGGAGCCAGACCCCATGACAGCCATTCAAGGGAGGGAGCAAAGGCCGAGCGACAGCCTTCCCGCCCCCATCATCGACGGCATAGGCATGACACAGACACTTCTGACAGGGGGTCTCCTGCCCGCAGTAACTCTGCCTTCCATAAGAAAGCCCCTGCTGGTGCCACACAAAGCCAGAGAAGACGCCACGACACAGACTCGGACGACTAATGTCCCGCGCTCCCCCCCCACCTGACCCAGAGATGCATAGTGCACACGCTGCGTTCTGGGACCTCCTGTGTGATGCGTTTCAGATTTATGTTTTATTTGACACTATGAGTAATTTCAAAGGCATGATTGTGTCTATTTTTCTGCTGATATTTGGTTAAAAGCCCTTTTTATATCCAAGATCATTTGTGATCAAATGGATCCACTTGTTTTGCTTGTTTAAATCCCTTTGGCTTTTGTTTTATTTTTGGAAGAGCGGATGCCATTAGTAGGGGGGAAAAAAGCTTTGTAGAACAGATTATTTTTCTTAAACATGAAACTGCACTTCTTATTGAAACATTTTAAATTTGAACGTCCAGTTTTAGCCATAATAAAGCAGGATAGATTCAAATTAATTCTATTTTCTTAGCAGAAATGTTTCAGGCTGATACGTCTTGAAGCAGGATACTACTGTTTGCCTCAAATTGATCTGAAAGGGGATATTCTGCTGGCTAGTACCTAATAAGGTCTCACTCACAAAATAATTCTCCAAGATGTTCATTAAGAAGAGTGGCAAATACCAGACTGGTCTTTTTTTTTTTTTATGACCAAGTACTGTTATGCTGCCACACACAAACCAAACTGAAGAAGCAGCAGGAGCAGAGGCCAGACAAAGCCACCCTATGAGGGACTCCAGGCCTGAACTACTTCCCCTTCTACAATTACCACACTCCCCAGCAAGTTTTATAGGCTCGGCTGCATTATCCATGGCAGCCTAATCAACCTGCAAGAATGCTCTCCTAGACTTGCCACCCTTAGACAAAGTGAAGTAGGATATGTTCTTCACATTACTGCTTTAACCTCAGCAGTGGGTGATCACTTAAGAGAATCATATTTCTTCTTGGGTCAGTTAGTAACTATTTTTTCCCTTAGTAACTCAAAACGTAAACATGATCAAAACAGTTAAAATAGTCAGACCTACTTGTTTTGTACAGTAATCTGCCCTCAAAATTACAATTACAAGTTATCTGGAGGGTGGCTGCAAGCTATACATGTGAAAAAAAAAATTTCTAAACGTGACCATCAAAATCAGGTATGAGATGGCATGTCAACCAAATAATCATGTGTGGTAACGGATAGCAATTCTTCATTAGGCTCATGATTGTTCTCTATGGATTAAACCATTCTCTTGTATCTGGGATTGTTGTTCTGCTGAAAGACTATTTTTCAACCCGTGTTGGTTCCTTTAAGCTAGATGCCCATGCCTCAGCAGGCTGAGGTTGTCTTGCTCTATGTTGCAGATGTTCATGATGCTTTTGCCTCCAAATAAGAAACAAACTTATGAGTCAGGGGAATCATAGCAATTAACTCTTTTCTATCAAATCCGATTTTAGATTAAAAAGAAAAATGATCTTTTCCATGTGGTGTATTTTGTAATCCCAAATATTCAATACATACATGAAGTATGTAGCTGCAAAATGTAATAAAGATCAAAGCTTAAAAGTTTTGGTAGTGAATTTTAGATTTAAATACCTAAAACATGAGGTGAGAAAAGGTGTTTTTAAATAAGCCAAGAAATGTCTTAAAGCTTTGTTACATTAGACAGAGCCAACTTTATGTAATCCATTTAACCAACTAAAGTAAAGCTTTATTTTCCTGAAAGTTTTGTCAATTTCAAAGAGGGGGACTATTTAAACAAAGTTCTTAAAATGATAAAAAAAAAAAAAAAAAGTCTTACAATTACATCCTGAATGCGTAGGACAATAAAACTCAGATTCAGAATCACTTGTATCAGATCACTTTAATTGCTGTGTAACCCCCCCCCCCACACACACACACACATACACAATTCTTTAAGAAAACATCAACAAACTTATTGCAATATTAGAACATTTAGGCAGTTATAAATCAAAAACAAACAAAGGCACCAACAACAGATGGTAACACCAAAATCTTTTAGATAAATCTTGGAAAAATATAGGCATTTGTTTGGCTTTTTCTTTACATCAAAGATGATGGCACTTTGATGCAACGGATTTTGGTATTGCTTTCAAAATGCTATTTCCCCCACATGGAGCAAAGCATGCATATCAGCTGCCTAGAACCTTACCCTATGGCACCAAACAGCTCAGTATATTTCACACAGTACTCTCACAATGAAATGATTATAAAATTAGGGGAATAAGTACTCAGTTAGCAAAGAGTTTCACCTCTGGGTAATGGTGTTAACACCCAGTAGACATGCTTGCTCTGAACGACTTGGCAAGTACACCAAAAGCTACCTATGATTAACCTGAGACTTTTGAATAGAAAAAAAAAGAAGCAAAACCCATCCAGTGCTCTCCTGACACGATTATAGTGTGCCACCATTGCAGTATTTCAGTTTATACAAAAGGCTGGTGAGTGTTCACAGACGAGAAATGTCAGTACAAATAATTAATGCCAGTGTTCTACATTTTAATTCAGGATTTTTTAGATATTACTGCAGCAGGTTCAAGTAGTGCATCAGTATAATTCAGTTTATTCACCACCCCACCCCCCAAAACAACCCTCTCATTATCCCTCTTACAGTACATCACTAGGGTCATTTGATTGTGTTGAGTTTATGGGGCCAAATCGATCTAGTAAAATGTCTTCCCTCTCTTTCTTTTTCAAAGTAAAAGCCACCCAACAGCCAAGAATAGTCGAAGAGTGCAATAAGATCCCTATTACCAAGATTATTTACATTTACATAAAATAAGAAAAATGTACTGAGATAAGTTTTACAAGATTAGAACAGCCCTACCACTGGCCTGTGCATAAGAGATCAAAGCTTAGCAGGGGATGGTTTCCAGTATAAGGATGACTCAGTCTTATTTAGGTGAAAAGAGAAAACATGAAGGGTTGGATGGAAAATGCTCTAGCCTTTAATGGTTCTTGAGTTGATTAGACAGCCAATCAAGTCCTTCATAGAGACCGTCCCCAGTTGTGGCACAGGTTGCCTGGATGTACCAGTTTCTGTTACGCAGGGAGTGAAGGTTCAGCTTGTCTGTCAACTCGGCAGCATTCATCGCATTTGGGAGGTCCTACAATCAAATCAGTGAGGAAATCATTTTAAAGCTGCTACTGGAAAAATTATTGAAGAAAAATTCCTCTCCTTATGAAGGCTTGTGTTACTTACCTGTTTGTTAGCAAAGACTAAAAGCACAGCATCACGCAGTTCATCTTCTGCCAGCATCCTCAAGAGCTCTTCCCGAGCCTCAGCACATCGCTCTCTGTCATTGCTATCCACCACAAAAATCAGACCTAAGGAAGTGTAAAATGAAGACAGATAAGCGAAATGCACTTTTTGAAAAGCAGTTTCTTTAAGATTATAATAAAATATAGTCAAAAGATTACCCTGTGTGTTCTGAAAATAATGGCGCCATAATGGACGGATCTTATCTTGACCACCAACATCCCACACTGTGAAACTGATGTTCTTATACTCAACTGTCTCTACATTGAAACCTTGGAAAGAAAACAAACAAGGACATTTAAAATGTAACTTTTCAGCTCCAAGTAAAAAATATCTGAATGACTTTGCCTACCAGCAAGGAGCTAAAACACAGCATTTGACCCACCTATTGTTGGAATAGTTGTCACAATCTCTCCAAGTTTGAGCTTGTACAAAATTGTTGTCTTGCCAGCAGCATCCAAGCCAACCATAAGTATCCTCATCTCCTTCTTCCCAAACATTTTAAAGAGCCCTGCAAACATATTCCCCATGGCTTCTGGTGATGGGAAAACCACTCTAGGACAGAAACGGTATTAAACTTCCCAAACCTGTGAAAAAACAAATAATGAGCTTAATTTCAAGTTGAAAAACATAAATTATTAGCTTTTATGCACCACAAACCATAAGTACTTTGTTAATCTTAGCTAATTAACATATTAATAGATCATGCAAAGACAGCAAGCAAAATGTACTAAATATAAAACACATTCTCCATGGTTTGAGTGAATTCTTAGATGAACTGATGCACAGCACAAAAGGTTATGAAAATTATTCTATTAAACTAATTAATACCTCTAACTAAACGTTTGTCTAAATTATCCTCTTTGCATGACCGTCCAACTTTTTCACTCTATATGAAAAATTTAGTGAGGCTTCTAGAGGAAAACTTTTAATAATCTGTTATTTTAAAATAGAGTGCATTTTCGAAAATTGGTTACACAAGCAGGTAAACACAGATCACAATTAAAATATCTTTAACATACCAATTGTGTTTGTACTGAGGACTTAAGTAATGCTGCAGTACATGAGAATGACAAAAATATCTTAAAAAAAGAAAAAACATTCGTTGTCAGCTAACTTTAAATAGCTGACTAAATATGTGTAAAACAAATAATGGAAATAACGATATAATGAGACTGGAACCAGGCTTTCAATTTGACTCGTCAAAATATTTGGCAATATTATTGCTCGAGGTTTTTTTTTTTTTTAACAACGGGGAAAAACCTATGAGTTAGTCATTTCTCTCCTAAGAGGCCATGGAGGCTGCTGTAGAAAGAAAAAAAAAACGGAGGCTGCCGCAGCTAACAGCTGAGTTTTCAGGGTGCGGCGGTGCAAAGCTGTCCACCTAGATAAAGAAACACCGACAACAGCATATGCTACTGTACAATTACCAAACAGACAGCCAGGATAAAATACACAGGAATTTCAGCGTTTTACTATAGTCACTGCGACAACGTTTAATATGTTTCATGAAACCAGGTATACAATGTAAGGGATAACATAGGAAGCTAATGAGAGCATCGCAGGGAGTTAGCATTGCTTCCTACTGCAATGTGTAAGCTAACTGTAAGACACAATCTCAGTTAGCTTGTAAATACATGGCTGCCTGTACAAATGCAGCCTACGGTTATATAAAACTGAAGCAAAATGTTAACTTTGGGTTTAAATAGTCTCTACTCACTCACTTGCTCGATTCGTTTTCTTCCCTTAAGGCGTTTCCTTCTTTACAGGAAAATGGCGATAGTTTGACACGTCATTGGGTGTTTTTTTGTTTTGTTTTTTTAGCGTCGGTGAACGTAGACTGGGAGCGATCGCCCCCTGTGGTAGAGAAGAGAATTGTAGTTGAAAGAAAAGAAGGTTTAAACCAGAGAAAAATTGTGTAGACATATTTGCATGTCTGCCGTTTAGATGCGCATTTAAGCAGAAACATATGGCACATCAAATATTACAAGGAAAATATGATAACTGTTGAATAACAATTAAAGGTGATGTGGATTAATCGGAATTAACATGGAACAACAATGTATTCAACAACAAAAACAATTTGTCTACTATTTGAAAAATTGCATTTGTACAACTTAGTCTTTATTTTTTTTTACCATAGAGACAATCCAATCATCTTTCCTAACATAATTCCCCGTTCCATTCTGTGTGACTCAATGAATTGCCAGTTTTTAAGTAGTCTCTATTAAGAATAACAAAATCCTTTTTTTTTGTCTTTCTTTTATTTCAGTTGGTTCTTTATGTGTTATTTATGTCATTGGAATCTGACAGATGATATTTGATGTTGCTAGTGGAAACACTACCTTCAAATGTGTGAAAGAGCCCTAAATAATTAACTATCTAAAACCAGAGATGCAGTTGTTCCAAATTTCTAACAGAATACTTCACTTTCAATCTTTAGGTTTACTAGTGGTTTCTAAAATTTCAGAAAGTAAAATGGAAAATCCTCTCCCATCGAACCAACTACCTTTTTTAGTAAGGCAGACACCCTGTCTACTTGTAGGACCAGGCTTAAAGCGTTCCTTTTTGATAAAGTTTATAGGTAGAGTGGCTCAGGTTATTGTATCAGGCTATTTCCATAGTTATGCTGCTATAATGTTACTGGACATAGGGACCACTTTTCATAATTCTACTTCATTTTATCTCTTTTCTCCCATTCTACAGTATTTGTTAGTTCAACCCCTTAATGTATGCTCTCTCTGCTATTTTGCATCATAGTAGACCCTTCTGGTCTGTTCCTATTGGGCTGTGAAGCCATCCTGGAGAGAAAAATCAGCTGGGCTGCTGTCCTCAACACCTTTAATTATAGATGATAGAGTTGGGCCTGTTTTTATAGTGTTTAGTCCTGTTGTATCTTAGACACAGCTATGGGCTCAGCTTTTACTTTTACTAACTGTATTTGCTCTCTTTAGTCCCTTTTGGCATAGAAACAGGCTTGGAAATCACCTGCTTAACTGTTCTTTCCTAAACAGATCAGCCTATGGAGCTAGTTTACCATAACCTTTTCTAACACAGAAAGTATTTATCGATTAGTTCCTCTATGTGCATCTTGTATGTCTGCTTCTCTCTCCTCAAACCCCCAGTCACCTTGGCAGAGGCTGCTCACACTGAAACTGGTTCTGCTAGAAATGTCTTTATGTTAAAAGGAAGATATTTATCTAAATTGTAGCTGCATGAATGCTCAGTTTGAGGGTTTGCTGCACAGCCAAAAAACAATGCAAGCAAATATCTACTGTTGCCACATGCTCAGCGAGGGAATGTATACACTATAGGATGAATGACTCTTTGCTATCAGTTAGCTCTCCTTGGTCAGAAAATTTTTTAACCAAACGATAATTCAAACTTTGAGATTATTAGACTTTGTGTGTCTGAATACCAGGACTATTGCTTATTTAAGAAAGAACTCTCTTCAGATGGATAGCTAAAAAATAAAATTAAAGGAAAAACCTTATA